AGTGAAAATGAATTTTTGAGACTTCATCAAGATCAAAACCTTCTGCACAGCAAAGGAAACAGTCAACAAAACAAAGAGGCAACCCATGGAATGGGAGAAGATTTTCGCAAATGACACTACAAAGGGTTGATTTGCATTTCTCTGATGCTGACTGATGTTGAGCATCTTATCATGTGTCTGTTAGCCATCTGGATGTCTTCTTTGGAAAAATGTCTATTCATATCTCCTGCCCATTTTTTAGCTGGATTCTTTATTTTTTGGGTGTTGAGTTTGATAAGTTCTTCATAGATTTTGGATACTAGCCCTTTATCAGATATGTGATTTACAAATGTCTTCTCCCATTTTGTAGGTTGCCGTTCAGTTTAGTTGATTGTTTCCTTTGCTGTGCAGATGCTTTTTATCTTGAGGAAGTCCCAATAGTTAATTTTTGCTTTTGTTTCTTTTGCCTCTGGCAGTGTGTCTAGCAAGAAGTTGCTGTGGCCAAGCTCAAATACATTGTGGCCTGTGTCTCCTCTAGGGTTTTGGTGGTTTCCTGCCTCACATGTAGATCTTTCGTGTATTTCAAATTTATTTTTGTGTTTGGTATAAGAAAGTGGTCCAGTTTCATTCTTCTGCATGTGGCTGTCCAGTTACCCTAATACAGTTTATTGAAGTGCCTGTCTTTTTTCCATTGGATATTCCTTCCCTTTTTTATGTCAAAGATTAGTTGACCATATAGTTGTGGGTCCATTTTTGGCTTTTCTGTTCTGTTCCATTGACCTGTGTGTCTGTTTTTGCACCACTACCATACTAGCTTGATGACAACAGCTTTGTAATAAAGCTGGATGCCTCTAGCTTTGCTTTTGTTTTTCAAGACTGCTCTGCCTATTTAGGGTCTTTTATGGTTCTATACAAATTTTAGGATTGCTTGTTCTGGCTCTGTGAAAAATGGTGATAATTTGATAGGGTTTGCATTAAATGTGTAGATTGCTTTGGATAATACAGATATTTTACCAATATTTGTTCTTCTAATCCTTAAGCATGGAATGTCTTTCTATTTCTTTGTGTTCTCTTCAGTTTCTTTCATAGGTGTTTTCTAGTTTTCAGAGTACAGATCTTTTACCTCTTTGGTTAAGTTATTATTAGGTATCTTATGGTTAAATGGGGCCAATTATTTGATTTCGCTTTCTACTGCTTCATTATTTGTGTATAGAAAAGCAACAGATTTCTGTATGGTGATTTTATAGCCTGTGACTTTGCTGAATTCATGTATCAGTTCTAGTAATATTTTGGTTGAGTCTTTTGGGTGTTCTATGCAGAGTATCATGTCGTCCATGAATAATGAAAGTTTGACTTCTTCCTTGCCAGTTTGGATGCCTTTTATTTCTTTTTGTTGTGTGATTGCTGTGGTTGGTACTTCCAGTAATATGTTAGATAACAGTGATGAGAGTGGTCATTTCTGGCTTGTTTCTGACTGTAGAGGAAACGCTCTTAGTTTTTCCCCTCACTGAGGATGATATTAGCTGTGGTTCTTTCATATATGGCCTTATGATGTTGAGGAATGTTCCTTCAATCCCTGCTTTCTTGAGCATATTTATCAGGATTAGATGCTGTATTTTGTCAAATGCTTTTTCTGCATCTCTTGAGAGGATCATATGGTTCTTATCCATTCGTTTATTAATGTGGTGTATCACATTAATTGATTTGGGAATCTTGAACCACCCCTGCAGCCCAGGAATAAATCCTACTTGATTGTGGTGAATAAGTCTCTTAATGTACTGTTGAATTAGATTTGCTAGTATGTTGAGAATTTTTGCATTCACATTCATCAGGGTTACTGGCCTACAATTCTCCTTTTTAGTGGGTTTTTTGTCTAGTTTTGGAATCAAAGTAATGCTGGCTTTGTAGAATGAATTTGGAAGTTTTAAATAGGTATTTTTATTTATTAGCTTTATTTTTATTTATTTTAGAAAGAAAGAGCACGTGAGTGTGGTGGGGGGGCAGAAGAAGAGAGAGAATCTCAAGCAGACTCTGCATTGAACACAGAGACTGATGTGGGGCTCAGTCTCAAGACCCTGTTATCATAACTTCAGCCAAAATCAAGAGTCAGTTGCTTTGGGGGAAATCAGAGGGGGAGACAAACCATGAGAGACTGTGGACTCAGAGAAACAAACTGAGGGTTTTGGAAGGGAGGGGGGTGGGAGGATGGGTAAGCCTGGTGGTGGGTATTAAGGAGGGCACATACTGAATGGAGCACTGGGTGTGGTGCCTAGACAATGAATCTTTGGAACTCTGAAAAAAATAAAAATATTAAAGAAAAAAAGAGTCAGTTGCTTAACTGACTGAGCCACCCAGGCATCATGGTATTAACTTTTCTTTAAATGTCTGGTAGAAGTCCCATGGGAAGCTATTTGTCCCTGGACTTTTGTTTTTTTGGGAGATTTTTGATTACTGATTCAATTTCTTTGATGGTTATAGGTCTGTTCAAATTTTCTATTTCTTCTTGTTTCAGTTTTGGTAGTTTGTATGTTTCTAGGAATTTATCCATTTCTTCCAGATTGCCCAGTTCATTGGCATATACTTTTTCATAGTATTCTCTTATAATTGCTTGTATTTCTGTGGTGTTGGTTGTGATCTCTCCTCTCATTCATGGTTTTATTTATTTGAGTCCTTTCTCTTTTCTTTTTGATAAGTTTGGTTGGGGTTTATTAATTTTATTAATTCTTTGAAAGAACCAGCTCTTAGTTTTGTTGATTTGTTCTACTGTCTTGTTTCTATATTATTTCTGCTCTAGTCTTTATTATTTCCCTTCTTCCACTGACTTTAGGCTTTACTTGGTGTTCCTTTTCTAGCTCCTTTAGGTGTAAGGTTCGGTTCTCATAGGCATTCTTAGTTATATTCTACCCATATCTCTCAGAGGGAACCACTATTCTCTTGTTCTTCTACCACAGTTCAGTTTTGCATACTATAGAGTTATCTTAAGCTGAAATTCACTCACTCTAACTTGCCTGAATTATCTATTTATCATGAACTCTTTTTTCAATATAAACCTCTCTATTTACTTATAAGCATATTTTATGATAAATTAAGTCATAAAATTAGGGGAAGGAAAAACGAGAAATAGAGGAAGGATAAGAGAAAATATTAGAGGGCACCAGTTTTAGATAGTTATTAAATTAACACTGGAAGAACTAATGACTTCCCTTTAGCAGGACGGGAGAGTAATCTTTACAACAGAAAAAAACAATTTGACAAACACAGATGCACAAGAGTTATTACAACTGATTTAAACAATAAGTTGGGCCTAACAATTCCATCAAGTTCTATAGCTAAAACACCAGTGCTCGTTAATTCCCAAGGTATGGAAATGGATTTGTGGGGGTCATTAAGTGATCTCTCATTTTGAAAGGCAAGAGAGAAAGAAACTTAATATCACGGTTTCTTCCTTTTCTGTTCTAATGTATCAGTCCAATGAACAGTCTTGCTCTTGTCAAAATTCCTCCCAGTGGCCACTGCAATTTCATATTTTTCTGGAGGAATTATGCCAACTGGAGAGATATCATATGAATTTAAACACAAAGGGAGCATGTGTTTGGTATAGAGAACCAAATAGACTGAGATGATCTAATGAGAAGCACAGCAGTCAGTATAAAACAACTTGGCCAAAGACCAGTCATCCCTACCTGGGGGCCCAGCAAAATCCTTCACTACAAGCAGATGAAACAAAGTATGACAAACAAAGTATGAAAAAAGGTTCTCAGGAACACAGCAAAACTAAGGAAAGTACTTATAATATCTAATGTCTTGTAAAAGTGACTGAAAGCAAAATTTGCCTAAAGGATATTGCTCTGATGAGACCTTTTAAACTTGTCAGTCCTTGGGCTTAGCTCAAGGATGATTTATCGGGCCTACTCCTATCTCTTTATTTTTATTTTATTTAAAAAAATATTTTATCTATTTATTTATTTATTTTGGAGAGAGAGAGAAAGGGAGAGCATAGGTGTGAGCGGGGGGAGGGGGCTGGAGGAAGAGGGACAAGCCAACTCTGCTCTGCATGTAGAGCCCCACACAGGGTTCAGTTTCACAACCCTGAGATCATGACTTGAGCCAAAATCAAGAGTCAGATGTTTAACCAACTGAGACACCCAGGGCACCCCCACCCTGTCCTATCTCTTTAAACTTTACAACTCTCTATAAGGTGTCAAAGACAGACTGAGAGACAAATGGTACTGTTGTTAGGAGACAATATAATCTTAGCATTTGGGAGCTCAACAAAAAATTTGGTACTTAGTACCAGTGTGGTACTTATCTCACTCTTGTGGTTGGAGAAATACCTGAGTGGGAGACTCATGGGCCTCGCTGGAGTGCCCTGTTCTGAATTTAGAGTCTTGAGCCATGCTTGTGAGTAGATCTCAACTGGATCTCAGTGGAACATCCAGGATTTTTGACTCTTGTTTTTCCAAAGGACCACCAGAAAACCCTGCTAAGCCAGCAGTTTTGATGGATGTGAGTAGACCATAGTATATTCAGGCAATCCTCCCTAGCTTTAGAACATTTAAACTCTCAAAGCTGTTACTTACTTCCTCTATACAATTTCATATTTCCTATTCCCCTCAATTGCCAAAGGAGCCTCCCTAACAGAGCCTACTATTTCATAAAAGCCTTGACTATCCATTTGCATTCTTCTTTCTACCATTTCCAGGTCTTGAATTGGAGCTTCTCTCTAGAATTATGCTAAGAAGAAAGCCGAGCCATTGCATTGCTTAACTCCTGGCAGGACCATTTACATTATAGTCTATGTGAATGGCAACCCATTGGCTTGTATAATGCATAATCTGTGTGACCGCATGTGGCAGCTACACATAAAGAATTATGTGGACAAAAATGAGAGGAAAAGATTTAATGGGCTACCATAGAAGGAGTGTGTGTGTGTGTGTGTGTGTGTGTGTGTGTGTGTGTGTTTGTGTGATTAGCCTTGGGATCTGGGAGCATTAATCTTTGTTCTCTTTTTCATTTTTCAGAGATCTTCAGATCATCTTTTATGGCAGTTCCACAAATATTCAAGACTTTACTGGGGAGTTTGTACCTTATGACAGGATCATTATTCACCCAAATTTTACCGTTACCTCTCCGAAAGATGACCTCATGCTGATAAAGCTACCTCTACCTTTTACCTTCTCCACCGTGATTTTTCAGTTGCCTACTCTCAAGAATGCAATTAAAGATTGTTTGATTCACACTTGGTTAGACAACAAAAACTTTATTGGTGAGTGACTATCAAAAAGAAGAGTTAGTTCTTGGATATATTCTTATCTTTAGGATCTCTAAGGATTTAAGGGAAGGCATTGAAACTTATAGTACTAATGCCAGATTTCTAGGCACACATATAAAGCTAGACTTGGAACAACAGTATTGGCTCTCTAGAATAGAAGAAGTGATCGTTAGAGTTTTGGGAATCAAATCCTAAATCAAGGTGTTACATAAATGTATCACATTGGCATACACCACAGGGATTAGAATCTGAAGTCTATGTTTGAGTATTGATTATAACATTCTTTATAGGTTTATGAACAAATTCTTTCACTTCTTTGACTCTTAATTTGTGAATTGGTAAGAATCATATTTTCCCTTTACCTAGCAGGAGTATAATATTATTATTGATTACAACAATGGTAGTAACTACCATTTGTCAATCACTAATTACGTACCAGGGACAAAGCATCCTATACATATTATATAGTCATCATCACATATCATGTAGATAAGTTTCCTTGGGATTTTTATCTTATAAGACAGGAAACTAAGACTCAGGGAAATTAATTTTCCAAGGAAAATGAAATGAAATGAACTTGGTAATGACAGAGCTTGGATTCAGATCTTGTTTCATGCATGGATTGTCTTCTCAGCAACCAGCCTTTGCTGCTGATCATCTGTCAGAGATGATAAATTGAGCAGGAGGATGTGTTTGATTCATGATCATTTATTTTTACTGAGAGGAAGCCCTGAAGTAGGGGGAGGCAGGATGCCTTATGAAAAGGCAGATAGGAATCAAAGTCTCCTTATTTTTTGTGCTTAGGAAATTCAAAGCATAAGCTGCAAAGAGTCAAGATTCAACTGAGCTCTAATATAAACTGCAAAAAATTACTGGGTGAAAAACTCCTTGAAAACATGTTCTGCATAGGACCCATGCTAGGAACCCAAGAGCCCTGCCAGGTAAGTCTTCTTACCTCATTTGCCCCTAAGCTCAGTCTCTACTCTTTGTGTCTCTCATTCTTGGAGGGGCTGGATTTTTTAGTCAGGCTAGGAGCTCAGAGAGGAAGGGGCTGATGAATAATGACTCTTTCTTCTCCACCCTGTGATAGAGATGAAAGAAATAGATTTTGGGGTGGAAAGCTATCTTCCAGCTACTGCCTGGAAATATCTGTGTAGGGATGACTGGGAGGTGTAGGGGTCATTAAAGCAATGGAAAGAAGCTTTCATACTGTATTCTTCTGTCTTGGACCCCTTTGCATGGCAAATATAGTAGCTTTCCTTTTTGTTCAGGTGTTGAGGAAATCTCAGGTGGGAAGGAGTTTCTGATCCATCTACTCTATCTGGCAGGTGGTCACAGCGGCACCAGCCATCTGTGGCGGTGAATTACAAGGAATTTTATCTTGGGAAACTGGATGTATTCTAACAGGATATGCTGTTGTCTTCACCGACCTACATAACTATGTTCCATGGATCAAGAACGTTATGTCTACAAAATAAGCTGATATAGAGCTCCACTGACACCCTTACCTCCCGGCTGATCCACAGCAACCACATTCTGTATCTCAGTCCCAGTCTCTCCTAGGGTCTAGGCTTGATTGGAGTTCCAGAAGAGATCGTTGATGACTCTTGGGTGTTGGCATGACTCTAATCTCTTTAATTGCTTCTTTGCTTATTCCTAACTCATGACTAAATGTTTATAACATGGAAAACCTGAGTTCTGGTCTCAGGAAGTAGAATTCCCCCAGGGATCTTTTTGGATTCTACCAACTCAGATATTTCCATTAAAATACTCTCTGCCTTATCTTAAGAACACAAAAAACAAGTGGAATGAGGGATAATAGCTACCAGGAGTCTATTTGGGCAAAGTGTAACCATATAGCTGAGCAATAATTTGCCAAAAGTTGGTCAGATAATTAGCAATTTTTCTAATGACAAATGTCTCCTGTATAAGTGTGTGTGTGTGTTTGTGTGTGTGTGTATGGGTGGTTGTAGTTAGTTCCCATTAGTTACTTAAAGGATCTATAGAATTGCTTAGGTTTACTGAGACCACCCAAAGGTCATTGTAATATTTGGGCTAAATAAGGATTTCTGTATTTTGAACAAAAGCTGCAATGCATATTCGTAAGAATGTTTTTTTTTTTTCCCAGTACATTTTCGTTCTGGTTTACTGCTTTTTATTTAAAATCACACATACTTGCTTAGAGGGGTACAAAGTGGTGGAGTTCATGAGGATTCTGCCATTCATACATGCCTCTGAATACACATTCTGTACAGTGTAGGCACTCACGAGCACACGCTTTCATCCACGAGCATACTCACAAGATGCTTGTCATTCCAAAAATCTGTTTTCCATATACTGTTTTTCATTAATCCGTGAGAGATTAAACTGATTTTAAACTAAAGCCTATCCATTTTCATATAAAATATTCAACATTCAAGAAATTTACCTCTGAAATGTGAAATGCATTTTTGTTTTACCTTTTACCCCGTGCTATGAAATACTGGGATTTATTATAATTCAAATCGCTACCCAGTTGATTAAATCACCTGTGTTGATAGGGTCACAAAACCAAAACATTTTTCTTTTCAAGACTCTCATGGGGCTCAGAGATAATGTGGGAAGTGTGTCGTATGCAGAGGAACAGTGTAGGAATTAGCAGCCATTACTAATTTTGACTGTTCCCACCTCTTTTGCCCTTTTGTTGCCTAATTAATTCCGACTAATTCCTGGTTGCTAACAGTCCTTTTCATCCTTGCCATATGCCAGGTTGTGTATTGTCACCAGCAACTGAACTCGTTGCAGGTAAACTTTTTACTGGGGTGACCTTCCTAACAACCTGCCCTGAGTCCTGAGTCCTTCCTAACAACCTGCCCTGAGGCCTCAGGCTTACAGACCTCACTGACCTTACATTCCACTGCCATTGTTCTAGGCTGAGTCAGGTGTTTTAATTACAAGCCTTTTCTTATTGATTGGGTCATAAACTCTTCAATTTTAAGGACTGTTTACTTTATATCTTCCGGACTTGAGTTTTTTATGTATGAATTACCTTCTCTCTTTCTCATCTCATTCCTCAATTTGAAAAAGAAAAGGTAAGTCTGTCTATCCAGTTGTCTGTCTTATCTTCTATCTATTTATCATCGATCATCTATCTATCTATCATCTATCTATCATCATCATCTAGCTACCATCTATCTATCTAATCATCATCTCATCACCATCTGTGTATCTAACTGAGCCAGGACTGTTTATCATACTACTAATTTTTGGATTGTGTGAATATTTTTTTAATTATCCTATCAATTTCACCTAAACTCCAATCCTGTATATGATTGATTCCAAAGTTTTCTCTTTTTTTCCTATTCTCCATTTTAAGTTAGTCTACTAAGAATTTCAGGTATCACATCCACCTTGCTCTCCTGATACGCCCACCAACAACTGCTCACTTTTATTTTGGTTCCTTTTTCTCTTTACATGGGCTAGGGCTAATGTTCCATGACTTTCTCTGTAGTTTAAGTACTTTTCATTTAGATGGATCCCTACAAACAAGCTTCAAATTTCGGTATCATAATTGCAGAACACAACAATGGGAACAGGAATGCTTGCCCTATTTGGTCAAGTGGATGGCTTTTCTCTGCACTCTGGTTCCCCGTCCTGTCTCCAACCTTGTGTTTCAGTCATGTCTCACCTTCAGATCAGGAGGATAGGGATCACCTCTTGGGTACATAATTTTTTTATATAGTACTTCAAAGGTCTCTTCTAGACTCATGTGTAGATGTTAGATATTTGGCTTTATTTACCCCTCAGTGTGTTTATGGGTCTTCATTTCCATTGGTTCCCTGGGTAAGCTCTTGTAAGCCCACCATATTTATTACCACTTACTTGCCAATGATTTATATGCTTCTGACATCACAGCTTTTCTTCCTCAGTCCACGTCCTTCTTTGGAAATATGTAGGGGGTTAATACTCAGTTTCTGTAGACTGTGCTTCAGTTCTTAGCCTAGAATTGACAAACTGTAAATTTGGAAAATCAATGAGCTTTGGTTTTTAGATTTGCTTTATCTATAAAACAAGAGTTAGACTTGATAATCTTGGTGGTAGACACTGTGACTGCCCTCCCAGCATCCACTCCACCCCTCCTCTGTAAGGTCACAGTCATTCTCTGGGGTATGGTCTGCATTGATTTAAACTTATCAGTGAACCTCCCCCCCATTTGGTTTGGGGATGGATACATGAGGCAGTTTGGCTTATTAAACATCAGTCCCTGTACATTCGGTGTTGAGATAATGTTGTAATGAGCTATTGTTGAAACCTTGTTTTGGTCAGTGTGGCAGGTGAATGAGACTAATCAGAGTTGCTAGTGTCACTCAGCAGCCATCAGGGAAGCTGCCTGAGGACGAAGTGCATCCACAGAGGTGGTAAAAATAAGAGAATTGCCCAGAAATATAACTGAAGTCCTGATAAAACCATTCCAGAATTTAAGTCTTCTCTCTCGATATTTTTAGTTCTATAATCCACTATGCAATTCCTTTCAGTGTTTAAGACAACTTGAATTGGACTTTCTATTGCTATAATTAAAAATATCTCAGTTGATAGCAGTTTCCAAAGTTCCTTCTGTCTCTGCCATCAATCTAGACCGAAGTGTGCTAAGTGTTTTATATATATTCATTCTTATTAATTTTCGTGGAATATGTGTGGAGTCATTTTTATCAGACATAAACATTCTGCATCTCCTCAGATCTTCTCAACTGCCTCTTTGTTTTCAAAGGCTTTGCCTGTCTCCTTGATCATACTGCTACCACCTTCACAGGGCTCTGCAAACTGGCTAAGAGCCGGGCTGAAGCTCTGAGCATGAATAGCTCTCACGTCCATAAACTGAGCCTATCCACGCCACGTTGCCACACTACTTTAAAACTTGTATACAAAGGCACGCTTTCAGGCCTTAGTTTGGGCTTTCTGAGTGACTGTTGAGAGGAAGATGGTGTCCTCATGAATTCTGAGTGGTTGTAAGCTGGGGCATGAGCCTTGACCAAAGAGAAATGAGAAGCGGGAGCCACCCAGATAAACTCCCACTGTTCTCACTCTCCTGTAGGCTGCTCTGAGGTGTGGGTTTGTCTCACATCTCTCCCTGTAGCTTTGCTTCCTGTCTCTCCTTGCCTCACTTCTACTTCACACCCTCACTGCCCTGAAAAAAACTTTTTTGTAAAAAGTTTTTACAATTATTTTTTAAGTTTTTAAAATTACATTCAGTTAGCGAGCTTATAGTACAGCATAAGTTTTTGTTGTAGTGTTCAGTGATTCATTAGTTGCATATAATACCCTGTGCTCATCCCAACATGTGCCCTCCTTAATACTCATCACCTGGTAACCTCATCCCCCCACCTCCCTCCCTTCTGTAGTTCCCAGTTTGATTCCTAGAGCCTAGAGTCTCTCATGGTTTTTCTCCCTCTCCGATTTCTTCCCATTCAGTTTTCCTTCCCTTCTCCTGTGGTCCTTTCCTCCATTCCTTATGTTCCACATATGAGTAAAACCATATGATAATTGTCTTTCTCTGCTTGACTTATTTCACTTAGCGTAATCCCCTCCAGTTCCATCCATGTTGATGCAAATGGTAGGTATTCATCCTTTCTGATGGCTGAGTAATATTCCGTTGTGTATATGCACCACATCTTCTTTAACCATTTATCTGTTGAAGGGCATCTCATCTCCTTTCACAGTTCGGCTATTGTGGACATTGCTGCTATGAACATTGGGCTGCATGTGCCCCTTTTTTTCACCACATCTGTATCTTTGGGGTAAATACCTAGAAGTACAATCACTGGGTCATAGTGTAATTCTATTTTTAACTTCTTGAGGAACCTCCATACTCTTTTCCAGAGTGGCTATACCAGCTTGCATTCCCACCAACAGTATAAGAGGGTTCCCCTTTTTCCACATCCTTGCCAACACTTGTTTCCTGCCTTGTTAATTTCAGTCATTCTAACTGGTGTAAGGCGGTATCTCATTGTGGTTGGATTGTTGAACAATACATCAAAAGCTTGTGATGTACTATGTGCTGGCTAACTGAACATTAAAAAAAACAAAAAAGAGAAAAAAAAATAATTAACTGTTTGCTAGGGTAAATTATTTAAACCCTCTAAACCTCAGTTTTGTCATTCCAAAAAGAGGGATAATAATAACTAGTGACTAAGGGCTCAGGCTATGGAGTTAGGCTGCTGGCATTTGCATCCTGGATTTATTACTTACAACTCATGAGAATCTTGGTTATGTTATATAACCTCTATTTCACTTTCCTTATTTATTAAAATTGAGATAATTCTACTGTTCCCACATAGACTAGTTGTAGATTATATATTACATGTTACATATCTAGTTCTTAAAAGATGGCATAGTACATAGATCTCCATAAATGTTAGATACTATTTTAGGAACAGGATTGTTATAGTGGTTGAATGAGATAACCAATGTAAAACATCTGACACATGATAAGTATACAATAAATTGAAATTATTACTTGATATTAAATCCCTAAGAAGCACATCACCTCTTTTTTTGCTACCCAAATTATGGAAATCAATTTCTATCTTAACTGTATTTTATTTATAAAACTTTTGATGTAACTTAATTTTTT